GACAGGGTTTCATCATGTTGGCCAGGCTGGTTTCCAATTCCTGACCTCAAGTGATCCACCTGCGTCAGCCTCCCTAAGTGTTGGGATTGCAGATGTGAGCCACCGCACCCAGCCATTTAATACCGTTTAAATATCAAGCTTTGATTTTCACTGGGTTAGCTGTTGGTAGGGTTGAATTCATGAATTATGTTTGAATTCTTTTTTTTTTTTGGAGACGGAGTTTCGTTCTTGTTGCCCAGGCTGGAGTACAATGGCGCGATCTTGGCTCCTGCAGCCTCCACCTCCCGGGTTCAAGCAGTTCTCCTTCCTCAGGCTCCCAGGTGTGGTGGCACATGATTATAGGCATGTGCCACCATGCCCGGCTAATTTTGTATTTTTAGTAGAGATAGGATTTCACCATGTTGGTTAGGCTGGTTTCGAACTCCTGACCTCAGGTGATCCAACTGCCTCAGTCTTCCAACATACTGGGATTACAGGCATGAGCCACCGTGCCTGGCCATGTTTGAATTCTTGATGAAAGCTCTGTTTGGGGACTACATATTTGCATTTAGTAAAACCCTTCAACGATGCTGTAAGTGAGGCCCATGTATTTCTGTTGCACAGAATGCAGGGTTGTCGTTATTGAAGCTTAACAAAAAGGCCTGCATAGCTTGGCAGCCAAACCGTTCTGAGGGTTCAGGAGCAGATCCTGTGATATCTAAATCTCATTGAAAATACTTGTTTTACCATCCTTCTGAGGTTTTAGTCAAGTTTGTGGTTAAATATGTTTATTTTAACACTGGTTTGTTTCTAATTAAGCAAAGTATAATGGGCTGTATCTGTTACCCAGGGGACTTATACAGAGTGACTTGTGTAGGCTGGTGCTTTGCTCTCATTTGTTTTCCTTGAACTGTCTGTCCTGGCTCTGTGGTTGATGCCATACTTGCTGAGTATAGTTTGTAGCTAGCTGGTTTGGCCTTAGATTCTTTTTCTTTTATGCATTTTAAAATGATATATCTGAATATTTATCTTCAGTTATCTGAGTTTTTCTTTTATTTCCACAGGATGCATTAAATACAACCGAGAACAAATTGCTTGATGCATATACTCAGATTTCTGATTTAAAAAGGTAAAATGTATTATCTTACGTACACATACCTCAGTTGTTCTTTTATGTGTCTGTATTGAACATGATGAGAAAGAAGTTTTTCTTGAGGATTTTTAAGCAGTTTGAGAACTAGTTTTATGTTAATTTTCCCTGACATGGAAATACATTTCATTTCAGCGAAACAAGATTTCTTTTCTTTCTTTCTTTCTTTTTTTTTTTAAAGAGATAGGGTCTCACTACATTGCCTGGGCTGACTGTGAATTCCTGGGCTCAAGCAATCTGCCTGACTGAATTGTTTTTTTTTTTTGAGACAGAGTCTTGCTCTGTCACCCAGGCTGGAGTGTAGTGGCACAGTCTTGGCTCCCTGGAACCTCCTCCTCTTGGGTTCAAGCAATTCTCCTGCCCCAGCCTCCTGAGTAGCTGGTACTACAGGAGTGCACCGCCAAACCCAGCTAATTTTTTGTATTTTTTATAAAGACGTTTTACCATTTTGGCTAGACAGGTCTCGAATTCCTGACCTCAAGCGATCCACCAGCCTCAGCCTCCCAAAGTACTGGGATTACAGAAATAAGCCACTCAACCCAGCAAGCCTGGCTGATTTTTAAAAACTTTTTGTAGAGGTAGGATCTTGCCATGTTGCCCTGGCTGGTCTCAGTCTCCCAGCCTCAAGTGATCCTTTCGCCTCATCCACCCAAAGTGCTGGGATTACAGGCATGCACCATTATGCACCTGACTTCAAACAAGATGTTTTAAATAAATAAAATGTATTGGCGGTTGTGCCTCAAAGGTTGATATTTTCCCAAACATTATGTATTTTCTCAGCATAGGTTAAAATCCAAATGATATTTAACCACTGGGAAGAACTTTAAGAATCATTTTTGTCCTTCAAAAAGAAAACAGCATTAACACCAAAATTGTGGTCATCTACTTTCAGAAAGACCTGGTTTGGAGACTGTATTAATGATCTGATTTGTTTAATTAGATAGGGAAAGAATCATACGTGGTATCTATTGCAAATGATTAGAAATATCCAACTGGCCTGGGCGCAGTGGCTCACTCCTGTAATCTCAGCACTTTGGGACTCTGAGGTGGGTAGATTACCTGACGTCGGGAGTTCAAGATCAGACTGGCCAACAGGGGAAACCTCATCTCTACTCAAAATATAGAATTTAGCCGGGCATGGTGGTGCATGCCTGTAATCCCAGCTACTCAGGAGGATGAGGCAGAGAAATGCTTGAACCCTGGAGGTATAGGTTTAGTGAGCTGAGATCACACCTCTTTACTCCAGCCTGGGTGACAGAGCAAGACTGTCTCAAAAAAAAGAAAGAAAAGAGAAATATTTAAACTGGCTTGAGAGCAAATTTTATATTTGTATTTGGATATAAGTAATGTCCCTTACTTAGAAATTTTATTGCAGTCTTAAGAACTTCCTATAGAGAAGAACAGAAATGCTGTCTAGATTTCTCATCTGCCTCTCTTCTGTGATTCATTCAGTTCTAGTGATAACTTTCTTATCAGATTGGTATAAAACATCAGCCTTGTTAGAGCTGTTATTTCTCAAATTTTTGTTGCATCAAAGTAGGTAAGAATTTGAGTTGGAAAGATGAGATAAAGTCATATGCAGAGTTTAAAAGATCAAGCCAGGCATGGTGGCATGTACCTGCAGTCCCAGCTACTTAGGAGGCTGAGGCTGGAGGATTTCTTAAGCACAGGAATTTGAGGCTGCAGCAAGCAGTGATGCCAGTGCACTCCAGCCTGGATGACAGAGCGAGACCTCATCTCTTAAATGAAGGGAAAAAAAGAACAGCATGAATGCCAGGATATCTTTAAAACAGTCAGTTGGCCAGAGTAGTTATTTCCTGTTGGTAAACTTGAAAATAGGCTTTTGTTTTGAACATGGCACAAATAGATGAAATACCTATATTTTGTTTGCAATATTTTAGCCTCTGCCTCTTTTAAAACTTAGAAGGTTTTTTTTTTTTTAAGAAAAGTTTTTTGGACTGGGCGTGGTGGCTCACACATGTAATCACAGCACTTTGGGAGGCTGAGCCAGCAGATCACGAGGTCAAGAGATTGAGACCATCCTGGCCAACATGGTGAAACCCCGTGTCTACTAAAAATACAAAAATTAGGTGGGCGTGGTGGCGCACGCCTGTAATCCCAGCTACTCGGGAGGCTGAGGCAGGAGAATTGCTTGAACCGAAGAGGCTGAGATTGCAGTGAGCCAAGATTGCGCCACTGTACTCCAGCCTGACGCCTGGCGATAGAGTGACACTCTGTCTCAAAAAAAAAAGGTTAAAACTCTGTTTTTGGAAGTTAAGCCTGGTTCCTCATTGTGAAAGTGTTACCTGTTGTATGCATGGCTATGTACATATTAGGATTAAACACATTAGAATGCAGTTTGTTTGTAACTTTAATTTTATTTTTATTTAATTTATAAATATGACGTTTTGATCTGTAGTCAACTTTATATAACTTGTGATATTAAGTTTGTTTGTGGTTCCCTTTTAATTCAGTTGTATGGAAAATGTTTCTTTGTAGAGTTTTAATGTATTTGTTTTTCTATTTGTTTTTCTATTTTCAGATTCACTGGTTTTTGTTTAGGTTTTTTTTTTTTTTTTTGAGATGGAGTCTCACTGTGTCACCCAGGCTGGTGTGCAGTGGTGTGATCTTGGCTCACTGCAACCTCCACCTCCTGGGTTCAAGCCGATTCTCTTTCCTCAGCCTTCTGAGTAGCTGGGATTACCGGTGTGTGCCACCACACCCGACTGATTTTTGCATTTTTAGTAGAGCTGGGGTTTTACCATGTTGGTCAGGATGGTCTCAAACTCTTGACCTCAGGTGATCCACCTACCTATGAAAAGGGTTTATGGACTTGCAACTCTTTTATCACCCATTTTCTAGAAGGGTCTGTTAATTAAACTGTGGTTGAGCTATATTTTAAATTTGTTGAAATGTACTTAATTTATCTTATTGCTTTTGAATTAGAATGATTTCAAAACTTGAAGCTCAGGTCAAGCAAGTAGAACATGAAAATATGTTAAGCCTTCGTCATAATTCTAGAACTCACGTGAGACCCTTGCGTGCCAAGTAAGTTATTTCATTTACTCTCTATAAAGCTAGAAATAGGTGCATGCTTCTATTAAGACCAGAAGCTCACCTGTCTAAATCATAAGAAAGTCAGGGTTAAATGTCATTAACCCTGAACTTAGATGTGTTAAATTAATTACTGGATATTGTAAACTCTCTTGTGCAGAGGCATTTGCTAAAATTAAGAAATGCAGTAGGATCAAATTGGGAGTAAGGAAACTTGGAATGTATTTTGTTCTTTGCCCAGCTGTGTGACCTTAGGCACGTCACTTACCTTTTTTGGAATTCATTTTTATTATCTGTAAAAATAAGGACAAGGGGCTAGAACATCTCCAAAGGTCTTTTTGCCTAAAATTTCAGACATTTTATTCCTGTGTTAATGAAAGGAACTACGAAGATGCATCTTCATTAGGTTGTTCGGGTTTTCTTTTTAGTTTATTTAGTTCTTTCAGAAATAGCTTGGCTATATCTTAGCACTGTCTTGATGATATCCTTACAGAATAAATTATTTTCATACCTGGCTTTTATTATAATTTTAGTATAAATAAAGAATAAGTAAGTTATAACTTTATAATGACATTTACCAGAAAAATGATTTTAAATTGTAATTTGTGACCCAAGTTGTAATTGTCAAATGAGAAGCTTTTTCTAGGGCCGGGCACAGTGGCTCACGCCTGTAATTCCAGCATTTTGGAGGCCCAGGTGGGATGATCACTTGAGCCCAGGAGTTTGAGAACAGTCTGGACAACATGGCAAGAACCCATCTGTATAAAATAAAACAGATTTTAAAAGAAGTTTTTTCTAGGTCTTTGTTAATTAATCTTAGTAAAACATAGCAAATTCTTTTTTTTTTAGAGAAAAGATGTAAGTAACAAATCGAACATTTGAGAGAGATAAAAGGAAGAGCCTCGGGTTGGGGGCCAGGGAAGGCCTTTCTTTTTCTTTCTTTTTTTTTTTTTTTAAGATGAGGTTTCACCATGTTGGTCAGGCTGGTCTTGAACTCCCAACCTCAGATGATCCGCCTGCCTTGGCCTCCAAAGTGCTTGGATTACAGGCACGAGCCACCACGCCTGGCCGGGAAGGCCTTTCTTTAGAGGAGGTTCATAAGCAGAGGAGTCACCCGTGCATTGAGTTGCTGGAGCAGGAGGTGTGGGGTGAGGGATAGGCAGGGTGGGGTGTCTGGGAGGTGGTCCATGTAGAGAAATTGCCTTGCTAAGTCCTCAGGTAGGAAGGAGCTTAGCATGTTTGAAGAGCCTAAGGGAGGCTAACGTGGCCTGAATATTTCCAGCAAGAGGCAAAATCGCCTTAGGTGAAATCAGAGATTGATCATTTATAGCTTTCTTTTCTTTTTCTTTTTTTAAGATGGGGTTTCACTATGTTGGCCAGACTGGCCTCAAACTCCTGACCTCGTGATCTGCCCGCCTCAGCCTCCCAAAGTGCTAGGGCTACAGGCATGAACCACTGCGCCCAACTGATCATTTATAGCTTTCTAAGCCATGGTCAAGAGTTTGGATCTTGCCCTAAGTCCATTGGGAAGTCTTTGAAGGTTTTTATGTGATAAAATGATGTCATCTAGTTTTTATCTTATTAATGTACCTGCCATGAGAAGATGGAGAAGGAAAGAATGGAAGCAGGAGACTAGTTAGGCTGGTGCAGTGCTAGCAGAGAGATTGTGTTAGCTAGGTGCTGGTCACAGAAGTGGACAAAAGAGAATCTTCGGGAGAGATTCTGGAGGTAGGATCTACAGGACATGGTTGTGAATTGGATGGCAAAGCAAGAAAAGAAAAGGAGGTGTTAGAATAATTCCTTGGTTTCTGTCTCAAACAACTAAAGGTACCCAGTTGATATGTTGAACTAGGGAAGAGATCAGAATTTCCATCTTGAATATTTTTGTTTGAGATTCATGTCGATTCTAAGTGGAAATCAAGTAGCCAATTATAAATGAATTTGTAGCTCAAAAATAAGGTTTTAGAATGGAATGATAAATTTTGGAGTTGTCTCTTTCTAGATGGTGCCTAAAGCTGTAGGATGGATGCAGACTGAGTGTGTTTAGTGATAAGTAGGCCTGGGGCAGGAACTCTGACACTTTGGTGTCAGATAAGAGAGAGCTGGCAAAGGAACCTGAGAAAGTGCTGCCAGAAAGCTAGAGGAAAACAAGCAGCTACCGGGATTGAGTGCAGAATCCACCCTGTGTTTTCCCTGTGCTCTCATGCCAGCACAACAATCAACTCAGAAGACTTCTGTGATCGAGGATATGTGGTGTTTCTCCTCACCAGCAAGCAAGCAAGCAGGTAGTTCTTCCAGGGACCTACCCACTTGTCCTCCCATTCATTTCTGATATTATCTACGCAAAGATAGGGTCAGATCCCGTAAGCTCAGGGCTCAGTCCACAAGACTACCCCAGCTTCAGACACCATTTGCAAGTCCAGACCTCTGGCATGTCTAACCAACTGGTTTCAAGTTGAGGTTCCCATGACTCTCTTTGGGTTCAATTAATTTGCCAGAGTGACTCATACAACTCAAGAGAAACATGTTTACCAATTTATTGCAGATGATATTTTAAAGGATACAAATAAATAGCCAGTTGAAGAGATATAGGGTGAGGTCTGGAAGGATCTCCAGTACTTGAGTTTCTGTCCCAGTGGAGTTGGGGTGTGCCACTCTTTCTGCTCATGTATGAACTCTTGTTCAGCTCTCCAGAAGCTCTGGAGCCCTGTCCTCTTGGGCATTTTATGGAGGCCTCATTCCATGGGCCTGATTGAAGCTTGGACAACTGTGTTGAAATGTAACTGGACAGAAAGGATGTGATCTAAACCCAGCAAGGCTTGTCTGTTCAGATCCTTCTTGGCCTCTTTGTGCAGCATTCTTTCCTCCAGAGGATGTGGCAGGACCCTCTCTGATTCTAATGAGGGTCTTATGACCCATAATTAGAATCCTGCCCTGGTAAGGTGAAAGGAAGACCTGAGAAAGTTAGAGATTCTGTTGACTGCAACAAGGGATATGGGAATTATGAGCTAGGGATATGGGAATTATGAGCTAGGAATTGTGGATGAAAACTGATGTATAATATATGTCATAATCTCCCAGTGCTGCTTGAGAGATCAAGGTGAAGACTGCAAGATCTTTGCAAACTGGAGGCTAATGTTTATTGAACCGTTTGGATAGAGTGATAGCAGTGAAACCCATTCAGAGTGTACTCAAGAGTGAATTAAGGCCAGGCACAGTGGCTGACACCTATAATTGTAGCAATTTGGGAGGCCAAGGTGGGTGGATCAGTTGAGGTCAGGAGTTCAAAACCAGCCTGGCCAACATGTTGAAACCCCATCTCTACTAAAAATACAAAAATAAGCTGGGCATGGTGGTGTATGCCTGTAATCCCAGCTACTCGGAAAGCTGAGGAATCCCTTGAACCCGGGAGGTAGAGGTTCCAGTGAGCCAAGATTGTGCCACTGCACTCCAGCCTGGGCAACAGAGCAACACTCTGTCTTTAAAAAAAAAAAAAAAAAAGTGAATGAAAACAACCTGAAAGTCTAACAGCTGGAAGATGGAAAATATTGTCATACACTCAAGCATGGTACTGCAGTGTATGACACTGTGTATGACACAGTGTATGACAGTGCAGCCACAGAGCTGGGGTTGGCAGACTCTAGCCTATGGAGTCACATCTGGCTTGAACCACTTGTTTTTGTAAGGTCGCTGAGTAAGGCATGGTTTCTACACTCTTATGTGTTTGGGGAAAAAAAAGAATATTTCATGACACATGAAAATTGTATGATAGGCCAGGTGTGGTGGCTCACACCTGTAATCCCTGCACTTTGGGAGGCCGAGGCGGATGGATCTTCTGAGGTCAGGAGCTTGATACCAGCCTGGCCAACATGGCGAAACGCTGTCTTTACTAAAAATACAAAAATCAGCCAGGTGTGGTGGCACATACCTGTAGTTCCAGTTACTCGGGAGCCTGAGACAGGAGAATCACTTGAAGCTGGGAGGCGGAGGTTGCAGGGAGCTAAGGTCACGCCATTGCACTCCAGCCTGGGTGAAAGAGTGAGATTCCGTCTAAAAAAAAAGAAAAATTGTATGACATTCAAATTGTAGTGTCTACAAATAAAATTTTCATGAAACACAAGTTCGTTCATTTATATATCATCTACTGTGGCCTTTGTGCAACAGCAAGGTGTAGTTGCAACACGTTGCTGTGCTGAAGCTTGAGGGCAGGAGGCAGAATGGGGTGGAGTCTTTGGAGTATTGGTTTTTTAAGGGAAATGTGTTCTCTGGTTATGACAAAAGCCAGCAAGTACCCTCTGAGGTGGCTGGCTGAGGAGTAGAGGGTCACCTCACTGGAGAGAGCAGTCAGGAAGTTGCCTAGTGTGAGAGCAGGAATAGGTGTGGAGAAAATGATGCAGGCTCTAAAGTCTGGGGAATGACTGGGGGTTAACATGATAATGGGAACCTCAGATGAGCCGGGGGAGTAATAGTCTAGAACTACACTGTTCAGTACAGTCCTGCCAACAGCCACATTACAATTTAAAATCAATCATGTCAACCTAAAATGAGCGACAGAGACTGACTCTCCAAAGTAGTTTATCTGGAAATGTTGGAGGTTTGCAATCTGGAGTATGCATGCTATGGTACTGTGCTATGGTACTATGCTTATGGTATAAGCACGTCCAAAGGGGTTGGGACACAGGAAACTTTAAAAGACAAAAGGCAGTCCACAGTGCACTAAACTGTTCTGAAACAAAGACCACTGGTTACAGGAGCATGTTGTGGGCATTAGCATTAGCTCATTGGTGGAGACATCCCTTGTTAGGGATGCTTCCTTATATAAGCAGCTTATTATCTGGAATACTGTGGTTCTGAGGAATTCCTTTAATAGTTCCCATAATTGGCATCTGTGTGAGAGGGCTGCTCCTTTGTGACCTCCCAGCTCCATTTTGTGGAAGTTTGACATTAGTGACTCCATTTGGATACTGAAAACTTTCATTACTAAAATTAACATTTTAAAACTGGTTCTTCAGTCTTACCAGCCACATTTCAGGTGTTCAGTAGTGACACGGGACTTGTGACTGCTGTATTGGACGGTGCAGACAGCATTTCTGGTTTTGCAGAAGATTCTGTTGGACAGTGCTGGTCTGAAGGGTTCAAGAAGGACAGCCCTGTTTAATTCAACACCTTACCCTCATCTATAGTAAGGGCACAGAGTGTAAAGGGTGTGAATGTCTGAGAGGCAGTGAGGGGAATGTTCAGAGCCACAAGTACTTGAATCTTGACTGCAATTCAGGAGCAACAGAAACCTAGAAGAACAATTAAGTTGAATCATAAAACTGTAAAATAGAGTTGTATCTAAAATATAGATTGTTCTGTGTGGTTTTTAAATTACTGTGCAAATGTGTAAATACTGTTTGAGAGCAGATTGTTTTATATGCACATACGGTCTGAATTGAAGTGCAGACCTTTGCAGTGCCTGAACTTTCTCATTCTAATAGCACACTAGCAACTTCAGACGTCAGCAGGCGGAAGTGGCTGATTCCAGGTGCAGAGTACTCCATCTTTACTGGCCAACCTTTGGATACCCAGGACAGTAACGTGGATAACCAGCTGGAGAAAACCTGTAGCCCTGGGTGAGATAACTTTTCTAAAGATTCTATTTAGGGATGTTATGTTTTATTAGAGATTTCAGTTGCTTTTAAATGTTCAGGAAGTCTTCTCTTTGGTTCTTGAATGTCTTAATTTTGAGAACCTGACTTTTATTTTACTTTGAAAGGCAATTACTATTAGAATACTTTACTTCCATGAGCTCTGCAGAGCTTCCCCACCTGTGCTCAGTGGCACAGTATGGGTTTGTGATTAGATAGGATGTCGATCCTCAGGCCAGGTGTGGTGGCTCACGCCTGTAATCCCAACATTTTGGGATGCCAACATGGAGCGATTGCTTGAGCTCAAGAGTTCGAGACCAGCCTGGGTAGCGTGACAAAATCCCACCTCTACAAAAAATATATATGTGTTAGCTGGGCATGGTGACACACGTCTATAGTTTTAGCTTCCTGGGAGGGTAAGGTGGGACGATTACCGGAGCCTGGGGAGGTCAAGGCTACAGTGAGCTGTGAGTGTGCCACTGCACTCTAGCCTGGGCGACAGAGTGAGACCTTGTCTAAAAACAAATGAGGCTGGGTGCGATGGCTCTCACCTGTAATCCCAGCACTTTGAGAGGCCGAGGTGGGCGGATCACCTGAGGTCAGGAGTTCGAGACTAGCCTGACCAACATGGTGAAACCCCATCTCTACTAAAAATCCAAAATTAGCCGGGCATGGTGGTACAAGTCTATAATCCCAGCTACTCAGGAGGCTGAGCCAGGAGAATCACTTGAACCCAGGAGGTGGAGGTTGCGGTGAGCCGAGATCATGCCATTGCAGTCCAGCCTAGGCAACAAGAGTAAAATTCCATCTCAAAAATAAATAATAAATAAAACAAAAGATGTTGATCCTCTCCCGCTTCAGATGGCTCTGGACAGCCTGAGCCCCGAGCCTGTGTGAGCAGCCTCATCCGCTTACTCCAGAGTGCTGTGCAGATGCTGTTCTTCTAAGTGTAGGATGTTAGAAGGATCGGAAAGCACTGTATGCAGGTTTAATTTATTTGCATTGCAAAGCGTACTCATTGTGGAGTATAATTGTCAACTCTGTTATTCTCCTAATAACCCCTGTAAAGTATGTGTTTTAGCTTGGACTGTTTTAACAAATTACCACTGACTAGGTGGCATAAACAACACACATTCCTCTACCTTTGGAGGCTGGGAGTGCAAGATGAGGGTGCTGAGTGTTTGGTGAGGGCCATCTTCCTGCTTATGTCCTCACATGGCCTTTCCTTGGTGTCTGTGCACAGAGAGAGTGCTCCTGCCTCTTCCTTTTTTTTTTTTTTTTTT